CGCCCCAATCTGCCCCCACCCATTAGCCCTTCTATGTGACTTTCTCCAGCAGCCCATGTGCCCTGCACGGTCTCCCTCTCCCATATCTCATACTGCCTTTCCTCCCCCCACAAGTAGTATGCTATGAGGAATGCAGATAGTGCTCCTCTCTATCTGCGGCTGGCTGCCTCTTTTCTGACACCATAGCTATCCCTGGTGATCAAAACGCATAGCTACAGTGCCTCTCCAGCAGAATGAATTTCTGCAGAAAAAAAAAAAGCAGGGAACATGGTGGCACAGATTTCCCCGGGTGTAGCATATAGTATTTTAAGATTTCTGGTATGGATTGTTTTCCCAAGGTAGAATTCTGTTCTCAGATACATGTGTGTTATAGTAATATCTCTATAAGTAGAATAATATGTGTGCTTCACAGATACTGTGTAAAATCTGCCACTTCCCACCATACTTTGCATTTCATAGATTTTAAGGTAAAATGGATTATTATGATTGTCTATTCTGACCCCTTGTTCAGCACAAGCCATGAAACCTCACCTACTAATTCCTGCATCATTTGAGCTGTAGCATGTTTTTTAGGAAGATAGCCAGTTTTGAGCCAAAAACTCCAGGTGATACAGAATCTGTCACATCCTTTGTTAAGTTTTCCTGTGGTCATTTAACCTCACTGTTACAAATGTGACACTCTATTTCCAGTATGACTTCGTCTAGCTTCAACTTCCAGCCATGGGAGTGTCTTTTGATGAAGTGGCTATCATCAGGTCCCGCAGTCCTCGTGTCTGAAATGACAGCACCTGCGTGTGGTTAGACACAAAGCAGACATTGCACACTAAATTAACAATAAGTTCCAATAAATTTGTCCTGGATAAAACAGAGACATGAATTTGACATGGATCCAGCAATATCTAACCATGGTGAACTGAAATGGAGTGGGGGAGGAGTGAAAAAAACGAATGGAAACATTTGAAACTAAGTTAGTTCGAATTAACGTTGTAGTGTAGACATACCCTTTGTTTCTGAGTGATCCTCTCCCCTCCGACTGAGGGGAGCTAAGCAATCCTGGCTCCTCATTGGCCAACAAACTCTCTTTACAAATCAGTCCATCCACAGCTCCCCATTGGCTTTTGTAGGAGTTTCCAATCTATTCTGTCCCCAGACTCAAACAGGGTGGCAAATGATGTCTAGAGGCTCTGGAGCTATTTTCCAGAAGGCCTTTAGAGACTCAGTGAAGAGTTCCAGGAGCTAGCAAATTCCTAAGAGGGTGTGCAATGTGTGTATTGTGTAGGAGCACTATGTACTACTTGGGGTTGTAAATACCTGTGAGCAACATAGGTTCCCTGAATGCCTGCAAGCACAATGCAGTCATTGAAGTGTAGGTGTTCATCACAATAAGAACTAGACACAAAGAACCTCTTCAACTGCAGATCAAGTAATAGTCAGCAAACATATTTGCTTTAGTTCTTTCCTAAAGGACTCGGATGACAGGAACTACTTACACTGACGTAGTGAAGCCTTCCTTTGCCTAATCTATCTGGTTGTTGGAGGTTAAAGAAAAGTGAGCTAGAAACCAGAAGGACAAAGCTAGGTGAATAAGGAAGGGGAAAGGTATCCACTAATTATGCACTAGAAAAATGTTGCATATTAATTTGAAGTACTTGTACATTATTCACAAGGCTCTCTAACACAGGGAGACTGGGAGTAGGGGGAGAAGTTTAATATTTTATTAGGAAAATATTGAAGTTCTGTTTGGGATACTTTGCAAAGGTGGTTTAAAATATAGGGGTAGCATATTACAATAGCTTCCTGGTGGATTAAGGTTTTTTGGGGGCATTATGTTGTAATATGGAGACTATTTTTTCACTCAGGTTATGTTTACACAGCAACATTATTTTTAAATAACTTAGTCTGCGTCTACGCAGCATCCAGTTATTTTGAAATAATGTCAAAATACTGTCAAGCTGGAGGACTTATTACTCCAACTCCTGTAAACCTCATTGTATGAGAGTAAGGAAGTTGGAAGAAAAGTGCTCTATTTTGAAATAAGTGCTGTGTAGACTGAGGTGGCCACCCATGGCTTGTGAGCCACATGCATCTCTTCAACAAAAAAATTGCAGCTCCCGCACCCGAGGCTCACGGCTCTTCAAGGGGCAGCATGCTTCTGTCTGAAAGAGACAGAGCTGGAGTCGCAGCATCCCGTGCAGACTTCAAAATAGCCACCCTCAAAATGGCCACCTTAAAAGAGCAATGCCTGCTCTGCTCTTAAATGAGCAAGCTGTTTTTGCTCGACCAAACATGGTGGCCGGGGCTTTTTTTATTTTTCTTTTTTTCTTTGCACCAACATTTTTCCCTCGGCTCTTTGCGCTGTATCCACCGCTATTTTGGCTCTTCAACTGTAATGGGTTGGCTACCCTCCCCCCTCACCCTTCCTCAGATATACAGCCCTGGGCACCTGATATGAGGTACCTGCACTGCTGTGGTGGGGCACATGACTGCTCTTGTGGTTTCCCTTTGCTTTCCAGTCTGAAAGTTATTTTTCTGCAGGAAAGCAAAGAATTGGTGGGGGGTATGAATTCTGCATATGTGCACAATTCCTCCAGAAGTAGCTTGTGCACCTGGCTGCAGGGCAGCAGAATTCAAAACAGTGACCAGAGAGGACATGGTGGTCATTGTGGGACACCTCTGGGAGGCCATAAGCAACACAGTTTCTATCCTGACACTGCATCCCTATAATGATGTTGAAAAAAACTCTGTACCTCTCATGTAGGTAGCTTTATTAGGTTGGTGTAAGAGGCCAGTGAAAGCATTGTACACCTCCTAGTTAGGTTGGTGTAAGCTGCCTTACCTTTGTAGTGCAGACATGCCCCCAAGTTCTGAGTCAAAAGCCATGCACTATATTTCAAAAAGCCATTTTTATGAAAAAAGAACAGGAACCAATAAGAAAGGCCAAATGATCTATCAAGTGGACCACAAGCTAAATATGAGTCAACAGTGTATCATTGTTGCAAAAAAAGCAAACATGATTCTGGGATGCCTTAACAGGAGTATTGTGAGCAAGACACGAGAAATCATTCTTCCACTCTACTCTGCACTGATTAGGGCATTTCAACTGAAATATTGTGTCCAGTTTTGGGCACCACATTTCAAGAAAGATGTGGAGAAATTGGAAAAGGTCCAGAGAAGAGCAACCAAAATGATTAAAGGTCTAGAGAACATGACCTATGAGGGAAGACTGAAAGAGTTGGGATTGTTTAGTTTAGAAAAGAGAAGGAGGGAGAGGGCATGAAAGTGGTTTTAAGTGTCTAAGGGTATGTCTACACTGCCACCCTAGTTCGAACTAGGGTGGCTATTGTAGTCATTCAAACTTGCAAATGAAGCCCAGGAATAAAATATCCCGGGCTTTATTTGCATGTTCCCGGGCGCTGCCATTTTTAAATGCCCCGTAGTTCGAACTACCTGCCCGTGGCTACATGTGGCACGGGCTAGGTAGTTCGAATTAAAGCTCCTAATTCGAACTACCGTTACTCCTCCTGCATTGAAGAGTAACAGTAGTTCAAATTAGGAGCTTTAATTCGAACTACCTAGCCCGTGCCGCGTGTAGCCGCGGGCAGGTAGTTCGAACTATGGGGCATTTAAAAATGACGGCGCCCGGGAACATGCAAATAAAGCCCGGGATATTTTAATCCCGGGCTTCATTTGCAAGTTCAAATGACTACATTAGCCACCCTAGTTCGAACTAGGGTGGCAGTGTAGACATACCCTAAAAGAGTGTTACAAGGAGGAGGGAGAAAAATTGTTCTCCTTGTCCTCAGATTATAGGACAAGTAGGAATAGGCTTAAACTGCAACAAGGGAGGTTTAGTTTGGACATTAGGAAAAACTTCCTGTCCAAGTGGTGAAATACTGGAATAAATTGCCTAGGGAGGTTGTGGAATCTCCATCATTGTAGATATTTAAGAGTAGGTTGGATAGACATCTGTCAGGGATGATCGAGATGGTGGTTGGTCCTGCCGTGAGAGCAGGGGACTGGACATGATGACTTCTTGAGGTCCCTTCCAGTTCTAGTATTCTATGATATTATGATACTAAGTTCTTATACCAAAGCCCTTCCTCTGCATCGCAGTTAAGGTTTGATTCCTGGCATCTCTATTGACACTTGATTTGATGACTCACTAAATGCAGTGAGTTTGTAGAGGCAGAGATGCACTATTTTCCCCCTCTTGGAAATACACGACATTATAGGGAATAAGTGGGCTTAAAGAAAGCATGTGCGTCAATGGATTCTGCATGCTCTGAAAAAAATCGTTTATTCCATGCAGTTGTTTACAATATGTTCTTGAATGTGTGTGTAAGCAGGGGCTGATCTGCTGCTTGCTGTCAGCCAGCTAAAAGGAGGGGTGGGTGTGCCCACTACAGTTGTTTAGCTCTACAAGGTAATTAACTGTTAACTGTTGACATGTAAATACTGCTCAGGAGAGAATCCAAGGTGGGGCTATTTAAATCCCATTCAGCCAGGGCTGATGGAGGGTCAGTGTTGGAATGGAATGTGGAGAATTGTATATAATTTGGGACTGTTGTGGGGGTAACTAATCATGCTACCCCTAAATGTGGGAACTGTAAAACATGCCACCAGTGCTTGCAGGAGAGACACCACCATCATGGTAAGAGGTCTCGGAAGAACAAGACTCCCCCCTTCCAGAGTTGAGTGGACAGAGCTGGGGGAAAGGGTTAAAGGTCTTGAGTCAGCCTGCTTCACACCTGCCAGGTGTGAGCTATAAGACTGGCCCAGCCTGCACCTTTCCCCCTTTGTTTTAAGGACAGACCTAAAGCAGACTCCCTGAGGAGTCTTTTTGTTTGCTAGTCCAGTGAAAGCTGGATTCATTTGAGAGCTGAAATCACTGGTTTGGCTGAGAGCCAGACCTACTGCAGCCAGTAAAGTGGTGGCGACCAGTAGCCTGGCGTGGAGTGGCGGCAGGCGAAGAGCAGCCATCAGCGGTGTGGCGTGGAGCGATGGCGGATGAGGAGCAGCCATCATTGGCGTGGTGTGAAGTGGCGGCAGGTGAGGAGCGGCCATTAGCGGCGTGGCGTGGAGCGGTGGCAGGCGAGGAGTGGCGACAGGTGCCCAGCGAAGCGTCCAGAGGTGTGGGACGAGACAGCTGGTAAAGCATGGCAGAGTTTTGTATAAGGTGCCCCCTATCTATCTCCCCACCCCCATTTCTACCCAGGTTGGGAGGTGAAACCCTGCGGGTGAACTTTGGGACTCTTGGTGGCACAGAGACTTGTGGGGACAGAGACTTTTGGGGAGTCGGTGGACTTCGGGTGAATCTTGGCTGGGGTGGGGGCTTGGCTCATGTTTCGGTTATGAACTCTGTTTGTGGTGTTTTCCCCAAGCTAATGCCGTATGAATTCTCTCTCTGTTTCATTAAATGTTCTTTTCCTACACTCAGACTCAGTGCTTGCGAGTGGGGAAGCATTGCCTCTCAGAGGCGCCCAGGGGTGCGTGAATTTCCCCAATCACTGGGTGGGGGCTCGAGCCAGTTCTTTGTGAGATTGACCCCAAGATATTGAACCCAGCCCTGGTTACTGCCAGGCCTACCCAGCAGAAGGTTTACATGTGCATTCTTTTTACTTATCGACTCGACTCTTCCCCCATATCCTGGACTTAGAGGGAAAAATGCATGTTACCATAGGATTGCTCTTTTTTAAACATCTCTCTCACACAATCACAAAAACAATTCTCTCAGTAGAATTGTCATGAAACTTTAAGTCTAGGCCTAAGCTATTTGATGGGATCAGTTGAAATATCAAATAGAAAATGTAATCTCTCTATATATTTTAGAGTGCATCTGACTGTGTGTCTGTCTGAGAGGCCATTTGTTCAAGAACTTCTCCTAAACAGTAAGAGGTAGGGTCACCACATTCTGTATACAGCTTCCTCTTATCATAACTTAAAGCAAGGTCAGACAGGACATCCGGAAGCCTAAGGAAAAGGGCAGTTTTCCATAACATGTAAAGGGAGGAGCTGTCGTTCGGAGGAACATTATACTGAGAGTGGTCACTGGGGTCAGCAAGCCTATATGGTAGAGCTGTACTGCAGAATGTCCACTGGGGGCATACCACCAAGGGAGTGGCCAGCAGGGCTGGGTCTCCTCCATCTTGCCTGCCAGCACCCTGAGTAAGTAGCTCCTTGCCCCAAGCCCTTTACCCCCTACCCAACTCTTGGCCATAGTGCAAGGCCCTGCTCTGAAGGACTCAGGGAACGCTGGCAAGTCTGCTAGTTGCTAACTTTATATTCATGCTTCAGAATCCTGCACTGAAAGGGCAAGGTGGAGGGAGCAATACAGTTGTACAGGTGAATTACAAGATTAGAAGGTACCTCAAATAGTCATCTAGTTCAGTCAGCTGCACTCAAGGCAGGATTAAATATTATCTAGACAAGGGCTATTCAACATGTGGCCCATGGTGTGGTTTGGGTTTACACAGGGCTCAACATGTGGCCCGCAGGGGGGATCCTTTGAACATGGCCTCCACGGGGAATGTGCTCCACAACAGCAAGTCAATATAATGGTCTTCTGTTGATATGCGTTTTAGTAGTTAAATTCATTGCTCATTGCTCATTAAAAGAGTTGTCATATGGGTGGAAATCAGGTAAATATTTCATTTTATTAATATCAGCAGAATTGACTTAAATGGGGCCTTGTGATGGGGCAGCTTCCGCGCCCCGCACGACCGAGGCGCCATCCTCGGCATGCTGGAGAGAAGCGGCAGCCCCGTGCTGGCTCCGGCCCTGCGTGGCCTGCTCCGCCGTGTCCAAGGGAGGCCCCCCACCAACTGGAACTGGGGCACGGTCCCCAGTCCTTAGGGCCCTTGGTCGGGGCTCGGAGTGGGGGTGGTCCCGAACTCCCCTACCTCACCTCGCTGACCCGCCGACTCGCCAGAGGAGAGGTGAATTTTGGAGAGGACCACCCCTGCTGGACGCGGGGAGGGCAGGTGACGGGGAGCACACAACGAGGAGTTTTCTCACTGGACAGCCAGCGGGGCGTGGGCTGGCGGGCCCCGGGTGGGACATGCCCACGCCCCCCCATAACAGTCCTGCATGTTGTGTAGTCTTGCCTTAATCTTTATATTCATTCCTGTCAGTATAAAAGAAGCTATTTGTATATATATTTGCATATATATGCAACCACACTTAAGTTGCGGCCTTCGGCATGTGCTGTGACTATCATTGTGGCCCCGGGGTGTCTAAAGTTGAGTAGCCCTGGTCTAGATCATTCCTAACAGGTGTTTGTCTAATAAAACCCTTTAGTGAGGGAAGATTCCACAATCTCCCTCACCAATGTATTCCGGTGCTTATTTATGCCACCCTACCAGGAAGTTTTTCTTAATGTCCAACCTAAACCTCCCTTGCTGAAATTTAAACCCATTGCTTCTTGTCCTATCTTCAGAGGTTAACGAACAATATTTCTCCCTTCTTCAAGTAACAACTTTTTTATGTTCTTGAAAACCGCTATCATGGTCTCCCTTTGGTCTTCTCTTCTCCGGTCTAAACAAACCCAGTTGTTTCAATCTGCCCTCACAGGTCATGTTTTCTAGACCTCGAATCATTTTTGTTGCTCTCCTTTGGACTTTCTCCCATTTGTCCACATCTTCCCTGAAATGTGGCACTGTACAGGGTCAAATGTCCGCGGGGGGGCCATGACCCTCTAGAGTGCCCTGCCAGAGGGCAGTTGTCATGCCGCAGTTGTCAACAAGTTTGTGTGGCACATCTCGGCCTAGCCATAGGTTGAGTGACAGGGTTTAAGGCTTGGCTAACAGTTTATAGGGCACAGCCCTGGGTCAAGGCAGGCGAACAAACATTTACCATAAGCAGTTCAATGGTTTAGAGCTTCGGCCGGGTCCCAGCCTGGCAGGAGTCAGGTCTCCTCACTGTCAGAAAGCCAAAAAGCGCAGGGGTTTTTGCCCTACAGGGGAAACCTGCCACTCAAGGGAAGGGGTGGCGGGGGGACGCGGGCCCACTCACTCCACTGAGTCCTAGCCCAGGGCCCTGATAGTGGCAGTGCTGAGGCCACAGGATCGGCGCAGATCTGGGCTGCTACATGCCAACTAGGTCTGTAGGTCAGTGGGGATCCAAGCCACAACATGCTGACTAGGTCAGTGGGTCAGTGGGGATCCAAGCTGCCACACGCTGCCCACCCGACTTCCATCTCCTCAGCCGCCCCAGGGTTGGCTATCCCTGGGCTGCTTCCCAGTTCTCCCCGGGCGCCTATCAGGTTCAGGCACTGCTACTTAGGGTCCGCTGGCAAGGGAGGTTCTGGCAGGGTGTCCATGGGTTCCAGCTCAGGCAGGAGCCCAGGTAGAACGGTCCAGTTATCCGGGCCCGGCAGGGGTCCTGAAGGGCTCAGCAAGTCTTCAGGCCATAACAGTGGACTCAGCCTGGGCCAGGGATCAGGGGCCGGCAGGAGTCCTGGTGGTCCAACCCAGTCCTTCCCTCGGTGCAGAGCAGCTGAGGCCAAGTGTCTGGCCTGTTTGGCTGCCGGGCTCTGACTGCACTCTCAGCACTTATACTCCCAGTCCCACCCTCTGGCTTCCTGTCGGCGGAGCTAGGTGAGGCTGGACCCGCCTACCAAGGGGTCTTAGAGGGCCCTTCCTCTGTCTGGTCAGAGGGAGGCCATGTTGCTGTCCTAGACTCATTACAGGCACCCACAACTGGACACAACATGCCAGTTGAGGCCTTACCAATGTGGAGTAGAGCAGAAGAATTAGATGTATTAGTAATTTCCTGTAACTCCGGTTAATATAATTAAGGTCTCCAAACTACCAATATGATTTTATTTCTGGTGGTCAGTATCAAAACATAATATTATATTTCTGTTAACAACCGTATAAGATATTCTTCTGGATCCTGTATCTCACTGTGTGTATAAATGGATGACTGTGATTATTGGCTGGATCACAGTGAGATTTCATGGAGTTTAAGGGGTATAATGGACCATTAGTTCATCTAATCTGACCTGTATATGACAGGCCATTGAATGTCACGCACAGGTCTCTGTATTGAGCCCAATAACTAGTACTTGACTAAAGCATATCTTTCAGAAAGGCATTCAATCTTGATGTGAGGGTATCAAGAGATGGAGCATCCACCAGATTTATTGATAATTACTTTCCATGTTTAATCACCCTCACTTAAAAACTGTAATCAAGGCACCACTCAGTCTTCTTTTTTGATGAGCTAAACAGATCAACCTCTTTAAATCAATAGGACCTGGGCTACACCTAACTATTAGATCAGCTTAATGACATTGTCCAAACCTGCGACTGTACAACATATAGATAGTCAACGGTTAACTTAACCCTCGCTGGGAACCTGACTAGGACGAGGGTGGGGGGAATTCTGTTGACCAAGCTGCTGCCCCTAACAGACATGGATTAACTGCATTGATAGAAAAACCCTTTCCATTGATGTAGGAAGCATCCACACAACAGCATTATCGTGGCATCATTGCAGCGCCATAGCTGTGCTGCTGTAGCCACTATAGTACAGACACAGACACGCAATAAGGCACTTTCTGTGAATCATTTTTGTGGCTCTTTTCTGCACCCTCTTGCAATTTTTCAACATCTTTTTACAATGTGGACACCAGATTTAGATGCAGCATTGTGGGACTGGTCTCAGCAATACTATGTACAGAAGCAAAATCACCTTCCTTCTCCTACTCCCGTGTTTATATGCCCAAGGATCCCATTAGCCCTTTTAGTCCCAGCATCACATCAGGAGCTCATGTTCAGTTCATGTATTTGTCATCCCTGTTCAGAGTCATTATTTTCCAGGATTCGCCATTCGACAGGACATGATGCTATTGTGGCTACGTCTAGACTGCAGGCTTCTTTTGGAAGAAGCTTTTCCGAATCATCTCTTCTGGAAAAGCTTCTTCCAAAAAAGCACATCCACACAGTAAAAGCTCGTCAAAAAAGCAAATCTGCTTTTTCAAAAGATAGCGTCCACACTGAATGGATGCTTTCTTGCATAGAAGGCCACTCAGAATGACTTCAGGCAGG